TTTTTTTTTCATATATTTTTCTCGTAAGTTTTAATCACACGAAAAATATTTTCATATATACAGGGTATCTTTAGAGGAGATAAAAACGAAAAAAACCTTCACGCCGTACTAATCATCGGGTACGGGATAGACGAGAACGGCCAGCTCTATTGGCTTGTACAGAGTTCGTGGGGAACTACGTGGGCGGACAATGGATTCGGACGTATCGAGCGTAAGAAAAACGCAACGGACCAATCATTGTTCGCAGAGATCTATTATCCCGTGAAAGCGGGCTATCCTCAAAAACCCAAGAAGCGAAGGAACTGAAGGTGAAACATGGGAATTCGGACACTTTGTCATTTTGCTTTCCGACAGAGCAAGGGATACGCCATTCTGATTACTATGGATATAGTGGGTTTTTACTAATGGATATTTGATCAAACTTAAAAAAACGATTGGACTAACCAATTTGACGTAAACTTAAATACACCGCGATGAGTTCAAAACCATATATGATTCCACGACATATATGGATCTAATAATATAGAAGAGGTTCACACGTACGGCAAAAGTCTCAAATACATATATAAGCTAATTAAAAGATGAAGCGTAATCAGGGTCTTGCATAACCCTTGGCAACGTCGGACGTTCCCTGTGTGCATAAAAAGGTTAAAGAAATAAGCAGGTAAGCAAACATTTAATTCTAATTTTCAACAGATGATTCCTAAAACCCATTACCTTGTTCTTAAATCCAATCGGGGTCCGTAGAAGGAGCCTCCACGTGAACAGCAGCAATCTCTGCAATGATAAAACATCAAAATATTATAGTATGAATAAATTGTTGCAAAAACGTGTGCAGAGATCTGCTAAAGGTCTCCAGTAGCCCAATACAAAGGCCAAAGAGTTCAAAAGTCTCACGTTGATGCGGTCATATTTGAATGAACAAACAGTTTTGGAGGGAAACATGTCAAGTAACCTTCATCTGTCGGCCTTGGCCTCAGAAACAAAACATGGGGTTCCTCCTCCCAACTATGAAGCTTTGTCTGATAACGTCTAGGCTCTGAGTTTGGAGAAGATAGATCCTTCGCCCAAAACGTTATCCAAAACAAATAACCCTTCACCGGCAATGCATTTGCCTTTTCATGCTTCACATATTCCAAATGGGTTCCCTATAGGAAAAACAAATCAGAACAAGAATAGACAGAAACTTGGATGGGGAATAAGCAGAGGATATACCTCCTCTTCGTTGTGTTGCTCAATGGCCTGTAATGTCAACTCGTGGAGTAGTTCATCATTA